GAGCCCTAGATATAGCCGTAATTTAGGTAAATCTATTCGCCGCTATCTATAAGGAGGCCGACGCCGACCTCTCGCTTAGCTAGTATACCGCCCTCGCTAAAGTACCCGCTAGCTTTATCTATTAGTTTACTTTCGCCGCTTACCTCCTAGATAACTTACCTAAGCTCGCCGTAGTATACTAAAGAGCGGCCTACGTCGGCCCCCTTTATACGCTAGTAGCGGCCCGCCTTTATATAGCTAACGTAATAGCTTATTTTAACTTATTAAACTAGAAGTTTACTAATATATACCTAGGTAAGTTCTAGAACCTAGGCCTAACTATATAGGCACTAGTAGTAGTAATCTATAACTAAGTTCTAGCCTTTTACGATAGACTAGCTATAATACTCTTAGTAAAACCGGCCCTAAATAATGCCTATAGCGTGCCTATCTATAAAGCCTTTAATATATAGGATGCCCCGGATAACGTGCTAGTAGGCCCTAAGGATCCGATAAAGGAGGAAGCTAAGGAGGAGATTCCCCGCCCTACCCCTACCCCTACGGCGTAAGACGGTCGGTTATTAGTTTAGCCTCGTTATATCCTTAGTCTTATTCGTTTTTTCTACTAGCTTAGCTATAGAGCGCCCTTAGTTATAATTAGTTTTCCCTAGCTTAGCTATACTATACCCCTAGCCTTACTTATTTATTGCCCTAGCTTAGCTACTTAGTACCCCTAGTTTTAGTAGTATTTTACTCCTAGATTAGCCGCCTCGCGCCCTTAGTATTAGTCGTACTAGGTTACGTCCTAGATAAGATATAAGTTATTCCTTATACTAACCTTAGAAATCTATATAACTTTACTATAATTCCTTATTAGCGCGACCCCTACTTAAATACCGCGGGAGACCGATAAGGACGTTAGTTAATTCTTTCGCCCTAGGTATTTATTATAGGACACCCTATAGTCGATAATCTAAGTACCTATAATAATATCGGCCTTTCTTAGGGAAGTTACCCTTAACTCCTTAAAGCTCCCCGCGGAAGAAGGAACTTAGAAGCTACTAGGTAAACTCTAGGAAATTACCTAGAAATCCTAGAAATAATAACTAAGTAGATTATATAGATATTTTATAGAGATTTCCCTTAGAGATATATTATATAGGGAATATACTATGATTTCCTAGGTAATAATTGCTTCTTAGGGATTATATTAATATTTTCCTAAGAAGTTACTATAAGAATATAGCAGGGAAATTATAGAGAAATACTTATGCCTACCTAGGGAAAATACTAGGAAATACCGCTAATACGCTATACTACCGTTATATAATTATAAGGTTAAGATATTACTTAGTTAAAGCCCTAAGTAAGGTCTTCCGCTTACTATAGTATATATAAAAGATAGAGAACCCGCTAGATCTTAGGCGGGTAAAGAAGAATATAGATAGTTATTACTACTCTTACTTTAACTTATAAGACTAGTAGCTAGTCTATATTTAACGCGCGTAATAATATATAGTAGCTAGTCTATATAATACGTTTAATTATATACGGTAGCTAGTCCGTTTAATTACCCGTTAGACTTATACTAGATCCGGGTAGACGGTAAGGTTAACGTACTAGCTATATATTAAGGGACTAGTATATAATAGGTAGGGCCGCTTTAGCTTTTTAAGCCTTAATAAGGGATCTTTTAAAGGCCCCTAAGACCTTTATAAGAGCTTAGTTTTAAAGCTTTTAAAAAGGCTTTATAAGGCTCTTAAGGGTCTTAGGCTCCCTATACTAACGCTAGGCCCTATAGTTTACTATAAAGGTTATATAGGCTTAATAAAGCAACCTAAAAGCTTTAATATAGGCGCGATATAAATAGGCAGGGCGGGCTAGTATTAGTATATATCTTAAAAATAAGGCCTTTATATAAATAGTAATATATCTTTATATAAATAGTAATACTTATATAAATATATAGTATTAGCGCTACGCGCTAACTTACTTTTTAGTATTCTTAGTAGGCAGAGTAGTATGCTAGTTAGTTAGGGCCTTTCTTTAATATATAGGCCTAGTAGTTAAGTTAATAGGGCTAAGGGCTATTCTAGGACCTATAATTAAAAAAAAGAAACGCAAAGAGTAGTTAACTTATGCGGTTCGATGCCTAAAGCTATCGCCTTAATCCTAGCTGGATTCAAGCGCACAAGCAAGTCCATTCTTCGAGGTTAAATGGACGGCGGCCATTTACGCGTGGAGCGGTGGTCACAGGACAAGGGGAGCACGAATTGTATTGTACATAAGGGTATTTTATGATAAGGAATGCAGAGTCTGTCCCCGCGAACGCGCTGGAAAGCCCTGGAAAGTCCCTCCATCAGTTCGTCAAGGGTCTCTTGAGCCCCGTCACACGTGTATGCAGGGGACATCGAGAATGGGGTTATGTTACGTAGTACATTGCGGCATCAAACACTCACATGGACGAGGTACAGTGTTTTACCCGCCTCCAGAGGAGATAAATGTTAAGGGTGAGCCAAGGTCATAAAACGGCGACTGACGATAAGGAAGACGTGGAGTGACACCTAGTCTTTGAACCCGTGCCGAAAGTACAGAAGTAAAAGGATGCAACGAGTAGTCGACCGGGGGGGGAGCTGTTGATCCGCGGCATGTTAAAACCAACTGCATAGATGAATACTAATCATTCAAAGCTGTGAAGGGTCCTCTGCAAGATTACCAGATCAACTGGTGATGAGCCATGAACATGAGCAGCATGATTGAAGCCGGGGAGGGCAGGTGAAACAAAGTTTTGATTATCCAGCTGCGTCAATGATTCGATTGAATGACATGGTGGCGAGTAGGAAAGAGAAGGGGTTTCGGAGAGCTCTCTTGCCGGGAGTAAGGTTTCGTCGGTACGGGAAGCCGAAACGGGGGGGTCCCTTGGCATAGTATGTTGCTATGTTTAATAAGTGTTTACGAACATCTGCCGCAGCACGGCAAAATGACTCGATATGGCGGCTTTGGTGAGTGAAGGGGGGAAACAAGGTAAAGAGAACCTTGGTATGAGCACCGCCAAGAAAAGAGGGGGGCGGCACTCATTAGTGTTGCTTCAAGTTGACGGTTGAGTGTAATACTGAGCACAGTCGTTGAGTCTCGGTCGGGAGAGCCCGCGGCAGCTGAAGACCGGACTCGAGACGGCATGTCCCCTTAGGATTGAAGAAATTTAAGAAAGAAAACAAAGGGTGTTACAAGTCTATCCTGCCTAGCGAGGAAAGATGAGAAGAGGATTTTCCCTCGTCAGGTGGATGGTGCGGCAGAATGGTTAATGATGAGACCAGTAACAAAAGTAGCGGGCCAGAGCCAAAGATTTTGGTAGTGTAATATGGGTTTGGTTGTCGCGAGGGGGAAGACGGGGTCAAGGGGCCAGGGCAAGAGAGAGGCCCATGCGCGGGTAGCATCGCGTCCGCAGGCTGCCCCCCCGGCTCCTCCCTCCGTGATCGGCCACTGCCCATCTGGTTCCGATAGGCCTCCGGGCTGGGGGGGCTTGTACCTGCACCCGCCGTAGGAAGCCAATGACCACTACAAGGTACCTGACCTCTATAATTCGTACTAGTAGAAGTCACCAGCAGCGAAGCCCCTCTTTGCTAATGCCTACTAATACCCGATACCTCGACTCCTGAGATGCCGCACTGGAGATGCAAACAATGGGGGCTGTTGGGACATGCGTGGGCTTGGACAAAGGGGGACGAGCTGCGCGCGCATCACAATGACATGCAGATCCAGTGATGGACCGGTGATCTGCTCGCGTTTGTTCTGTTCGGTTTTGCTGTTTGTCGCCAAGTCCCAGCCTGTCATGTCTTCTCTGTTCAACAGAAGACTCAGGCTTATAAAGAACCTCTGTCCTGTGTCTGTTCGAAATCGAGTATTATACTTTCGAATGGACAGGGAAGAAATAGGCAGGTACAAGGTACATGCAAACAAACAAATCAACCTCGACTTCTTCCCCTGAAGATACAACGAGGCACTCACTGTAAACTCTGTGAGCCACTGGAAACTCGCTTAATAACGGGGCGTCTCCGGCCCCTGGTTCGTTCCCTCGGGGCGGGCCCCACTGCTTTCCGCCCACCGCCCCGCCGACCAGCCGCATCCACCTCGACATCACCAACCAGCCTCAACCACTCTTCATCCTCGCTGCGCTACGTCAACGGCCGCACCTCATCCTCTTCGACCCAGAAACCCCCCTTCTTGGTCTTTGTATCCTAAGCGGCGCCCGGCATCGTCGGAACAGAGTCTCCCGTGATGCAATTCCAGGTCCTCACTCCTCGTCGTACCAGAGGCCGTGGGTCCTGGGAGAGGCGAGAGAGCGTGGATAGAAGATGATGGCTGATGCGACGGCACAGACATTTCCCAAAGAGGCAAATCAAACCCTCACGGCTAATCCCGGTCTCGGTCTCCGCCCACCACAGCCAGCCCTTCTGTCGGCTAGGCTCGTTTTGCGTCCTCTTGGAAGACGAGGGTGCGCCCGCGAAGCCATCACCACCTCGCCGTGCACAGACGCATCCACGTCGTGGTCACCGGCTGTCCTTGAAACCTCGCGCGTCACGAACGCGGCTCTCCCGGTCTCTCAATGAACGATGTCTTCGCTCTCTGTGACCACCAGCCTTTCGCCCTCCCTACTGCTTCGCCCCGTCTCGCATCGCGGCCTCTTGCCTTCCCGCCCCTAGCCAGAGAACGCTCAGACTGGGCTCGCCAACTTGGCGTTTGAGCTCTCTATCCTTTGCCCTCGTCCATCTCGACAAAATGGCCCGTCTCTTCAGTTATAAAACATATGCTTCGCCGACCTCCAGATCCAATCCATCCTCCTCAACAGCTCCGGCTTCACCACAACTTCCCCTTCCAGCTTCACTCTTAATTCCATCGCTTAATCTTCTTTGACGCCTCTTATTCTTATTCCCTTTGGGCCGCTCTATAATCAAACCCTCCAACCCTTCCCTGCCGGACAGGATTCCAAGCAAACAACCTTCTTTTCATGATCACTCAAAATGCCATCCTTCAAGGCCGTCGTACTCTCCTCTGCCCTCCTGGCTGCTGAACTCATCGCTGGTCACGCTGGCATCATCAAAGCTGTCGGCGCCCCTGCCGGCGCTGCCGGCGCTGTCGGTGCCCAGCGGCGCGCTGCGGCTGCCGGTGCTGGTAACGCTGCCGGTGCTGGTACCGCTGCCGGTGCTGGTAACGCTGCCGGTGCTGGTAACGCTGCCGGTGCTGGTAACGCTGCCGGTGCTGGTAACGCTGCCGGTGCTGGTACCGCTGCTGCTGCTGCTACCGGTACCGGCATGTCCATGGGCCTCGGCATCGACCCCAACACTCCTCGTGATGGCACCAGGCGCAACCCCTTTCAGCAGGACTCCACCCGCTTCCAGGGCGATGCTGCCGGCACCGTTGGCGAGACTCTGGGCGGTGGCACCAACGACATCGAGACCGGCACCAAGGCCATCATGGCCATGACTGGCCAGTCCCTGGCTCAAATCACCCCCGGCGGCCAGCTCATGATGACTCTTCACCAGGTCAACGCTGACGGCGCCGGCCCCTACACCTGCATGATCAACGCCGATGGTACGGCCCAGGACTGGCAGAACATCCAGGTCACCAAGAACGTCGACGGCAACCAGCGCGGCCGCAACAATGCCGGCAACAAGCAAGACCTGCCCCTCAACGTCCAGATTCCTGCCAACCAGCAGTGCACTGGCCAGGTTGCCGGCCAGGCCAATGTCTGCATGGTCCGCTGCCAGAACCCGGCCCGTGCCGGCCCCTTTGGCGGTGTCGTCCCTGTCCAGATGGCTGTCGCGGCCGCCGCTCCCGCTGGTGCCGCCGCCGCCTCTCCTGCCGCCGCCAACGCCGCTGCTCCCGCCGCTGCCAACGCCGCCGCTCCTGCTGGTGCCGTCGCCGCCTCTCCCGCTGGTGCCGCCGCCGCTGCTCCCGCCGCTGCCAACGCCGCCTCTCCTGCTGGTGCCGCCGCCGCTGCTCCCGCCGCTGCCAACGCCGCCTCTCCTGCTGGTGCCGCCGCCGCCGGCAACAGCCGAGCTGCCGGCAAGGGCAAGAAGGCCCAAAACAAGAAGGCCCAGAACAACAGGCGCGCTGCCTTTGTCAAGCGCATAGACCCTGTCACCCGGGCCATCGAGTTCACTGCCTAAGTAGGAACCGCTTCTACAGCTGTGCTGTCTCCGCCTTTCTCGGCAACCCTTTTCTTTCGGCTCCTGTATACATCCCACAAAACAAATTGACACGCAAACACGGGCTGTAGGGATTAACAGGCAAGATCCGTGTTAATCTAGCAGAATTTGTAACATCAAAATAATCTGAAAACGATTTCTTTCTTTTAAACGAGCTTCTCCTTGATCCGCGAATTGTGATTGTGGCAAGCTTTCCCACCCATCCTGCCTCTGCCTGCACCAGCCAGCCAGAAGAGCTTGAGCGCTTAGCTCTCCTCGCCTTGTCGAGCTTACTCTCTCGCATCAAGCGCTGTCCCCGCGAGCCTTGCAGCCCCTGTCTAGCTGACGCTCACTCTCGGGGCCTCGAGCTGATTACACGGAGGAGAGGGAGGAAAGAGATCCGTGATCGACATTGAGGTTGCATAGACAGCCTTAGGTAAGATTTTGCTACGTCACCGAGCAAGGTCTCAGAAGCCACGACAGATGACAGCCGGGACACCACTGATGACCATGGAAGCCTTGAGCGCGGCAGAGACCTGGTGTATATTGTTTGGCTCGTATAAAAGCAGAACAGGGAAGAACAATCAGCCAGCACTAAAGACACAGCCCTCGCCCCGCGCTTTGAAAACGGCGGAAAGACAGATGCACTACTTGTCCTGCCAACCCTCGACAAGCCACTCATTCACCTGCGCTGCTTCTCTCTCCGCCGCGTCTTGGGAGCAGGCTCGGATTGTGGACCGCCAAGTCGGCGAGATGGTCGTCCCAGAGCCTCAAGACGGGGTCTCGGCGGTCGTCGGAGGCGGCAGCCGTCTTCTTCTTGCCGTCATCTAGGTAGCGGTAAGGCTTCTCGTCGGCAAAGCAGGCCGTCTCGAGGGCGTCGGGCAGGACGCCGTCGAGGATCCAGGCACGAGCGATGGCGTCGGTGCAGCGCGAGGTGTCGCGCGACGAGTGGCCGTAGCCGTGGTGGGCGATGAGACGGGCGTTGGCGTGGCCCATTTCGGCAAGGAGGCGGCGGCCGTTGCGGAGCGGCGTGGCAGGGTCGTACGTCTCGGCGATGAGAAGCACAGGGTTGCGCAGCGTGTGGTTCAGGTCGCCGCGGAACACCTCGGCCGGATGGGGCCAGTAGTCGACAAAGTGGCGGCAGGGAAAGACAAATGCGAAGCGCGAATTGCCTGCGATCCACGATTGCTGCGTCATGTTGAGCCACAGGGCGTCCCACCAGCGGATGCCCTCGGGCGGCTCGGGCGCGTCATACGAGTCGGCACAGATGACGAGCGTGCCCAGCTCGTCGGAGCTCGGGCGGCTCTTGGGCGGGGCCGGCAGCGTCGGGTCGTAGCCCCACGCCGAGCGCTCCAGCATCTCGGCCGCCAGCGTCGAGTTGCCGGCCTCGAGCTCGAGCAGCATCCGCGCCAGCGCCGGCCAGCTGCGCGCGTTGTACAGCGCCCCGTAGATGGCCTGCACCAGCGCCGAGTAGGTGACGAGGGACGGGCCCGTTGCCTTGGTGTATCCGGGCACGGGGCGCTCGATGAGCGACGAGAGCAGCGTGTGCATACGCAGCTCCAGCTCGGCGACGGTGACGTTGGAGTGGGGCTCTGGGCCGGCTCCGGCTCCGGCTCCAACGGCGCTGCTCCCGGGCACCTTGACGGGCTTGGCGAGCGCGCAGTGTTCGGGTCCCGCATCGACACATTCGCCAAGAAACCCGTCGTGCCAGGCATTGGTGACGTTGTCGAGGGCGGTCCAGCCAAAGCCCCCCAATAGGCGATGATCGCGCACATACTCGGTGCCGTCGAGGATCAAGCGGCCCACGCTGCCGGGAAACATGTTTGCAAAAGTTTGGCCAATGCCGGTGCCATAGCTAACAAGATAGCCCGTCAGAACCTCCTCGCCGAGCGCCAGCCGGATGCGCTCGAGGTCGCGTGCGACAAAGGCCGTCGACACGAAGCGGGCCAAGTCGCCGTGCAGACGGTAGCAGGCGCCAAAGATGGCCTCGCTCATGGCGTCGGCAAACTCAAGCTGCGCGCGCGGCGACGGCGACACTTGGCGGTACTCGTTGGCCTTGAGGGCCCAGTGGTCGCGGTCCACGTCGTGCGGGAAGCAGGCCAGCGCCGGCAGCGACGCGTTGACGCCGCGCGGGTCCCAGCCCAGCACGTCGTACCGCCCGCCGCTCAGACGCCGCGTCACCATCTCGGCCGATCGCCACGCCATGGCTGTGCCGCTGCCGCCGGGGCCGCCGGGGTTGATGACAATGGTGCGCTCGCTCTTGTGTCCGGCTTGCTTGTCTCGGCCGGGGCGTTTCCGGGCGAGTCCCGAGACTTGCAGCTTGGTCACGGCCAGGCGCACGATGCGAGTGTCTGACTGGTTGGTGTAGTCGAGGGGCACGTCGAGGTAACCGCAGAGGTAGATGGCGCGTCCGGCATATTGGTCGTCATGGCCATGACGGTGATGATGACGCCGTCGCCCTTCGAGGTCGGCGTCGTCGGGGGCGGTGGCGTTGCCCCAGCTCCAGTGCTTCGGGTCCGGGTCAAACAAACGGGCCCAGCTCCGGTGTGGATCCGCATCCTCGAGCGCCGGCGGCAGCGTCGCGTTGGTGCACGGCAGGAAGCGAAAGGGGTCGCCGGCGCGGGGGAACTGGCCGTAGGGCGACTTTGAGCATATCGACCGGTCGCGGTGGTGGTTACGGTAGAGGCCGGCCAGGCAAAAGAGGCCGAGGACCAGTGCCGTCGCCCGCACCAGCCACGAGCTCCGGGCCAGCGGGGGCCTCAGCACGGCGGTGGCGGGAGGCTTCGTCTTCTCCTTCTCCATGGTCGGCGTCAGCGCGTCTCCTGCGGTGGCCTTGATGCTGTATGCCTTGTGCGTGATCCAGTTGATTACAGCCAGGAAAGTTGGAAACGGTTGGATGAGACAATATGGCAGTCTACCGAGGGAGCACGAAGCACTCAGTGAACAGTTCCTCCAGGCTGGACGGGGAGCATGGCAAGGGCTTTATCAGCACAAGGCCGGCTCAATAAGGTGGCAATATTTCCGCCTGTCTCGCGCACGGGGCCGGACGGAGGTCCCTTTACGGTTGTTTCTCCTTCTTTGCTTATTGGCGCGTGACCCCCTCGGCTGCGCTATTAGGGATGATTATATCCGCGGGGCGTGGACGGGTGTAACTAGACTTAAAAATACCTATAGGTGTTCACTACCTACCTATAGGCTATTATAAGGCTACTATAAGTACTTAGTATATAAGTAAGTTTAAAAAAGGTACTTAAAAGTATATATAGGTATATTTAAGCTACTTATAAGTATTACTTATTTAGTTTTATTATATAAATTACTTATATATATCTTAATATAAGGTGCTTATAGAATATATATAGGCTATAAAGCTAAAAGTAATATTAAATTAAAAGGTAAGATCTTATAAATATTTATTTATTTAGTTAATATTAAAGGACCTATTAAAATATTTAAGAAAGCTACTTTTTAATAGTAACTAAAAACTATAGCTTATTTTACTTAAGTAAAAACTAATTACTTACCTTACTTTTACTTTAAGTTTATATTTAGAGTATTACTATTTATATAGATAAAAGTCTCTATTTATATAGACGATCTACTTTTTCTACGCGTACCCCGCCCGCCCAGCCCCCGCCACCTAATTTAGCTGCACCAACGTGGCAAAGGAGGGAGCCGCGCTAAGCGTAGCGTAAAGCCCCGCTAAGGGAGAAATCTGCCCTTCCTACCTACATCGCAAAGTGAAGCTATTCGCGATAGACCTACGATTTATCCTCAACGAGCCTGCCGAAGAGCCTGCCGAAGAGCCTGCCGAAGAGCCTACCGAACAGCCTGCCGAACAGCCTGCCGAATAGCCTGCCGAATAGCCTGCCGAACAGCCTGCCGAAGAGCTCGTCGGGCTGCCAATTCCACCTCTGCCGCCCTCGCTAACCTTTAACTCCTTTAACGAGCTCTACGACTTCCTCTAGAGCTTCTATCGCAGTCATAGCGCCGCTATCGTTAAGAGCTCTAGCTCACGTAAGCGTAAGATCAACGGGTAGGTCTTACCTATATACGTTATATTTATTTATAATCGTAGCCTCTAACGAGCTTCGTTAAGCAACGGCCTTTATAAAGCTTCCTTATAGAAGCTTAACTGCCCCGTTAAGATTATCGCATCCGTAATAAAGAGATCCTACTAACAGTAGACTTTTCGCGTTAACGATAGTTAATATAACTATAGGTAATTAATCGACCCTTTAGCTTATAACGTCTATCGCCGCCGAACCTAAGTATAGTAAGAGCTCGAGAGAAGCCTTTCTAAGCATCGTGCCCTCCTAGCTCGCGAGATTGCCTCGATTATTAGGGACTCTACTAAAGAGAGCTTCTTCCGCTAGCGAGATATATATAACGACCGCTAGAAGATCTATACCGCGGCCCTTAGTAGTAAGACTATAACCTAGGCCTTTATTAATTACCTCTAACGCGGCGGCCTTAAGTATATAGTTAAATTTAGCAACGATAACGATAAGTAGAAGGTCAAGGCTATCTTCTAGATATACCCTTAGTGCGAGTAGATATAGAAGCGCTTTCTAGAAGTCTTAGGACTTAATAATATATATAAAACGAACCGGTTTAAGATATATCTCTTCTAGGCTACTAGAGTTACTAATTAACGGTCTATAGCTAACTTCGCTTTTAGCCTTATTAATATAGAGAAGGAGGAAGGGTTCTAGTAGCTTTATAAACGCCTTAACGAGCTTCGCCTTAAAGTTAGGGTCCTAGCGCCTTTTATAGTTATTATAAATAAGGAAAAAGCCCTTAAAAACGCACTCTTATACGTTTTCCCTTTATTATAGTAATAACTTTACGTTTACTATATTAACGCTAATATTAACGCGAAAATTAAGTTACGTTAAAAGGAGCCTAGCGGCGTTAATAATAATAACGATAATAACGATAATAAAGCTAATAGCGTTAATAGCGCTAACGATCCTACTAATATCTGTCGCGTATACTATATGCGTTAATTGACGCTGTCGCTTATATCTAATAGGCGGCCACATCTTTTTCGTGACAATATCTTCCTTAGTAGAGTCGCTATATAAGAAGAAGCCGAAGATAAGATCTTAAGCGTATAACCTATATAACTTAAAGACTATAGCCGCGAGGGGATATTTACTACTTAGAAGGCCGTTATCTATACCCTAACTAAGGTAGGCTTCTAGTTAGCTTAGCGGGCGCTTAATTATAAGTATAGATAATACTAAGGCTATATCGTAAGATATATTTCTAAGGAATATATACTATAGTAAGAGTAGTAGGCTTATTACTATATTAGCCGCTATTATAACTTTAGCTAGAAGGTTAATAGCTTAGTCGAGACTATATATAAAGATATAAAGTCGTATTTACTTATAGGCACCGGCGATCTCTTCTACTTATATACTACGTTAGAGTAAATAATCGCGAATAAAGAACGCTCCTATATCTAAGAGGCGGCCCGCTAAAAGTTAAGGTAGCGGCTTCTTTATCTCAGCTAAAAATAGCTAGGTAAGCTAAACGTTAAACTTACCTACTAAGCGGTTAACCTCCTTACTAAGTAATACCGGCTTACCTTAGCCGCGATGCCCTTAGAGCCTAGGTAAGAGCAGGAGTTATAGCCGCTACCGTATTATATAGGTCGATTTATATAGTAGTAAGGGCTTCTTTATATATATACGATCTTCTAACGCCTTTAAGCTAACGTTCTACTTATAAAGTACGATATTTACCCTTAGTAGTAGCTTAAGAAGCCTCTAGTAGAGAAGCCCCCCCTTTTATATACGAATTACGCTAATCCTTACTATTAGGATCTTAACGAGCTACTTCTTTAAATCCGAGACCCTAATATCGTTTAAAGCCTCTATAGCCGACCTCGCGTTGCTAAGAATACTAGCCTACCTATGCCTTAAGACCTAAGGCTATATCGAGATAAAGACGACGATGCCGCGCAGCTAGCTTCGCAGCCGGCCTTATAGTTAGTTAGAGGCACGCAGAGACGGCTGCCGCGGTCTAGTAAGGCAAGCACCCGCCGCCTTAACGCTAGCGTACGCCGCACGCGCATATAAGCCGAGATCGATAAAGGAGGCAGTTAGGGCTCTACCCGGCCGTTATTAGGAAGATCGCGAGCGCGCGTAAATACACGGGGAAGGGGATCTCGAGGGAGACGGGGCAGAGGTATAAGGGCTACGCCGGCCTCGTCGGTAGAGGAGGTTATCCTAGCTACGCAGCCCACGCCCACGTAGCCTAGGCCGGACTATTAGCCGGGCCGCAATATACGACGTAATATACGTATATCTCGCGATAATCGCGAAGATACGTTATTTAAACGAATTAAGGTGCCCTAGGCTTATAGGTATATATAATCTTTACGCTAGCGCGGCTCCCTCCTTTACTACGTTAGTATAGCTAAATTAGGTAGCGGGGGCTAGGCGGGCGGGGTACGTATAGAAAAAGTAGATCGTCTATATAAATAGAGACTTTTATCTATATAAAGAGTAATACTCTATATTTAACCTACTACTTAATAATTAATAAAGTAGATTAACTTATTAAATAATATAGTATTTTATTATATCCTTAACTATTAACTTAGACTATTAATACTTACCTTTTTAATAGTAAATATAAATTAATTAAAGGTTAAGTTAAGAGTGCTAGTAATCCTCTTAATAGTCCTTTTCTTTAACTAAGCTAAAGGCGTTAATTACTATTACTTAAGCTTTCTAACGGATTTCCTTAAGGGAGTATATCTTAAGTTATTTCTACCTTAAGATAGCCCTAGCTCTCTTAAGCTTAAACGGCTACTTAAGCCTCTTTTCCTTATCTTTTTCTTTCTTTAAAGCTATAACTATAGCTCTATATAAAAGTCTTTAACTATTATAAGCTATAGGCTTAAGCTATAGCCTAAGCTATATAGTTATATATAAAGGCCTAGATCTTATATATATATATATAGGCTAGCCGCGTATAAAAGAGCTCTATATAGCTTATTAATATTATCCTATAAATAGTACTTATATATATATACCTTTACTTACTTTATAATAGTATAAGTTATTAACTAATAGATTTAATAGATATCTTACTAAAAAAAAGTACTACTCTTTTAATACTTTGCCTCCTCCTAAGTAAATAAAAGGTATTATAGCTATCTATTATAAAGTAAGTAAAAGGATATTATCGGAAGACGCGGTTATTAGTTATATATATTAATTGCAGCGCACCTATCGGAGCGCGTTCTACTTTTGCCTGCGTGGCGCAATAGTCTTCGCGACAGTTATAAGCCCGGGAGGGGATAGCACACTACCCCTATAACTTCCGGTAACTGCGCGCGGTACGGGGTTTAATCCCCCGTAGACGACTACCTCTCTTAGATTTCCTTGGGTTATTGGCGTGGCGCTTAGTGTTCGACTCCCGCGTCTTAGGCTATAAGGTCTAGGGCTCCCGGCGGAGCCGCGATCCCTAAGGGGGTGTGTCGGAAGACGCGGTTGTTAGTTATATATATTAATTGCAGCGCACCTATCGGAGCGCGTTCTACTTTTGCCTGCGTGGCGCAATGGTCTTCGCGATAGATATACTATAAGTGCCTTTTATTATACTATAATAATAAGCTATAGAGGATCTAACTATATACTACGCTTATTACTATTAAATATATATATATATATATAGCTTACCTTACCCTATAATACTATTAGCTAAGGTCTAGGCTAATACCTAGACCTATACTAAAGGTAAATACCTTTATATAAGGTCCTTACCTTTCTTTTTATAAGCGG